CTTCCTGCGTTTGTTTGTTTATTTCCCTCCGAGGCGCTCTGAAGTGGTTGCTTGGACACGGGGATTTTGTGGTTTTGGGGAAGCTTCGCTGCTTGCTCTGCGTGTCGCGGTCTGTCTGCTCCACCCGGAGCGCTGCTTTTGCTTTCACACCGAGCTAGTTGAAAAGGGAGAGTAATGGCCTTCTCCTTGGTTTATTTTGGCGAGCAGATGTCAATTATTTTGCTTTCCTACTGCCTCTGTGCTCGTTCTATTCAAAATTTTCAGAGAAACCTTCCAAGGTGAAGGCTCATCCTGAAAATCAGCGTGAAAGTTGCCCTGAAACACTTTCTCCCCAAGGGTTTCAGTTACATCACTGAACTTCAATGGACTTGTAGTATTTCCCCACCAGCTTGGTTCGTTTGCTGTTAGGTGAATGTTTCATGTGCAGTAAACTTTCTCTGGTGTTATTTCTACCAGCATCCACAGATTGCATGTGTTCCATGGCAGAGCTGGGGCCTGACTCAGTTTTAAACTTCACTACTAATACTGGAAGCCTTCAGAAATGGGCAGTGCTTTGTAAGAAACAGGTGCTTAGAAAATAGACTTTATCAAAAGAGGTTGAAAATTTTATTAAAAGTTGCTTCTCCACAGGAAACTGAGGTTTCCCAAAGGTGATTGAGGACTATATGTTGATGTTAATGTCAGTGGCAGCAATCAGAAGGAAGCACATTGCAGTACAGATTGTTCATTAAAAGATACCTTTCAGGGGCATTCTTTGATTTCTTCATTCCCTTTTTTTTTGATAATTCCCCCTCTTTTTGATAATTCCTTTTAATACAGAAAATCAGGCTTGATTTTAAAGGTGACTCAGCTGTCTGGTGTTCTTCATGTCTTGTTGAACAGAGGTTATTTTTACCCACACTCTTCAGATCTCAAGTGTCACCCAGCAGCCTTGACTGTACTGGGAGCTGGGCTGATTAGAACTGCCAAATCGGACTCCACCGCAGAGGCGATAATTGCATTATATACTTAAGGAGGTTTTGGCGGGGGAAAATCAATACACCACATTCTTTCCTTCAGATTTCTGCTTGGGTGAACACATGGTTGATGTTTTTAGTAACACTTTCAGGCTTCTTCGATATTATGGTTTATAAAAATTTCTGTTAACAGGTAGGGAGGGATGTAAAATACTGCTACAGAGTGAAAAACAATCAATCACCACCCCTGCAACAAGCCTCAACTGAACACAGAAAAAGCTGTGTTTAGCTAAACAATATGTTTGAACAAAACATAAAACATTTGAGGCAAACTTAACAGAAACTATGGATAAAAGTAGCAAAAGGAGTGGAAAGCAGCATGTATGATTATTTTTTTAACTAAAACAATTTTCATACTTTTGATATTATCTGGAAGAGAGTTCAGATTTAGGAAAACGTTACCCTCCAATGTAAAAACTTCTTGTTTAAATTGTGTTATGGACATTCACTGGGCAAAAGACTTGGCAGTATCAGTGAGAATAAAAGCAGTCTCAGTTCCTGTTGTTTCCCACAGCTTTTCAGCCCATACCACTCCTCTGCTTAGCTGAGTGAAAGATTTGCCTCAGATTTTATTTTAAATTCTATATAATCTAATAGGTACTTGGATATTGTTTGTAGGCTGGAGATTCTAAGGGGCATATGTAATGTGTGCTTTCTTGGATAAAACACCGTAATTTACAAATTGAAATAGCAAAGCTGTGTTCTTGCAGTATTTCATTCAGAAGGAAAGTGAAAGGATACACACAGGTTGTTTCTTGGCTGAAGAGAGATGTTTATATTTTGCAGTAGGTTGATTTTGTGACTTACTTTCTTAGGTTATCAAAGTATTACCTAAGTGAGCCTCTTCCTCTTGAGATACCTTCCTCTTAAGGTATAACACTGTTGGTCCTGTTACAATGTTCAAGAATTTAAAAAAACCCCACTCTTGGTTTTGTTAGCCATGCTAAAATTCCGGATTGCTTTTTTGCTGGAGGAAGTTTTTTCTCTTGTATTTCCTCAGTATTTATCTTGTTTTTTCTCAGTATTTCCTCACATTTTCTCATTTTGCCACTTTAAAATATGCTCCTTGCTACAGTTTAACTTCAGCATGTCATGTCATACGTGGCCGGGCAGCAGCTCTACAGTCAACAGTCAGTCTACAGTCTTTAGCTGTGTTAAGTGTATATTAATCCTTTTCCTGCAGGGATTTTTGTGATCTTAAAAATACACTGAAAACCATCAGACCTGGGAGTGTTGGGGTACAGAGTAATGTTATTAATGTAGAGAAAGATGCTGCAGCAAATTTGCAAGGACCAAGCAGAGTGGAATGGTCAAAATCAGAGTTTTTCCTGCCAGGGGGTGCCAAGGAAAATGAGGTGCTGAGAGTGAATAGTTCCCTCTTCTACTTCAAAAGCTTTTTGCTTTTTGCAGCCCTGTTTGTCCCTCTATCAGTTGTGTCATCTTCCCTGGGTTTGAGTAGTGCATCTTCCAGTGGATAGAGGCAGCTTCAG